CAGAAAACCAGTCAGTATCTGGTGTGACCACCATTTGCCTCACGCAGTGCAACACATCTCCTTCGCATAGAGTTGATCAGGTTGTTGATTGTGGCCTGTGGAATGTTGGTCCACTCCTCTTCAATGGCTGTGCGAAGTTGCTGGATATTGGCAGGAACTGGAACACGTTGTCGTATACGCCGATCCAGAGCATCCCAAACATGCTCAATGGGTGACATGTCCAGTGAGTATGCTGGCCATGCAAGAACTGGGATGTTTTCAGCTTCCAGGAATTGTGTACAGATCCTTGCAACGTGGGGCCGTGCATTATCATGCTGCAACATGAGGTGATGGTCGTGGATGAATGGCACAACAATGGATCTTGTCACGGTATCTCTGTGCATTCAAAATGCCATCAATAAAATGCACCTGTGTTCGTTGTCCATAACATACGCATGCCCATACCATAACCCCACCGCCAACATGGGCCACTCGATCCACAACGTTGACATCAGCAAACTGCTCACCCACATGACGCCACACACACTGTCTGCCATCTGCCCTGAACAGTGAAAACTGGGATTCATCCATGAAGAGAACACCTCTCCAGCTTGCCAGATGCCATCGAATGTGAGCATTTGCCCACTCAAGTCGGTTACGACGATGAATTGCAGTCAGGTCGAGACCCCGATGAGGACGACGAGCATGCAGATGAGCTTCCCTGAGACGGTTTCTGACAGTTTGTGCAGAAATTCTTTGGTTATGCAAACCGATTGTTGCAGCAGCTGTCCAGGTGGCTGGTCTCAGATGATCTTGGAGGTGAACATGCTGGATGTAGAGGTCCTGGGCTGGTGTGGTTACACATGGTCTGCGGTTGTGAGGCTGGTTGGATGTACTGCCAAATTGTCTGAAACGCCTTTGGAGACGGCTTATGGTAGAGAAATGAACATTCAATTCACAGGCAACAGCTCTGGTGGACATTCCTGCAGTCAGCATGCCAATTGCACGCTCCCTCAGAACTTGCGACATCTGTGGCATTGTGCTGTGTGATAAAACTTAACATTTTAGAGTGGCCTTTTATTGTGGCCAGCGTAAGGCACACCTGTGCAATAATCATGCTGTCTAATCAGCATCTTGATATGCCACACCTGTGAGGTGGGATGGATTATCTCGGCAAAGGAGAAGTGCTCACTAACACGGATTTTAGACAGATTTGTGAACAATATTTGTGAGAAATGGTCTTTTGTGTATATAGAAAATGTTTTAGATCTTTGAGTTCAGCTCATGAAAAATGGGAGCAAAAACAAAAGTGTTGTGTTTATATTTTTGTTCAGTGTATATAAAGTTTTATCCTTAAGTTTATTACAAACATTCAAAATCTGAGGATACATGACAGGATAAATGAAAAAATTGCAATCTAAAAAGTAACTGGATAGGGTAATTATGATCATAGAAGCATAAGAAAAATATTAATGCATAGGGCCTACATATTGTAAATGTATTTTCCGTTACGTCCGTGTTGCAACTATCTCTCTCATGGTGTTGGGTTAGGGTAAAAACATCAGGGCCAGAGCCAATCAGAGGCAGAGTAGGGGTAGGTTTTCATTGGGTATGCATGCCTGACAGGGGTATTTAGTCTCTCCCACACAGATAGTTGTCTTTTTGAAAGCATTTCACATCATACAGATGCAGGAAGAGTGTTTATTTTAGGAATAACTACTGAGGCTCTGACCTCAGTGACACCATAGCTGACACTGCCAACTGAGGGCCACAACGTATGAGCTAATTGCACATCACAAAGATGTCAACCTGTGTTGTTACATGTCTTAAACCTGCAAGTCACACGGTAAACTGATTTTTGGGCCACTTGGGGGCATCGAAAAACAAGCTGTAAACACAAAACTGACCTTTGAGGTTGATACAATTAACTTGTTAGCAAATAGTTGCCTATTTACACAACCTGCAGACATGGAGCAACATTAGCATTCATGTTTTTGACCACCTGATGAAGTCCTATATCCACTCTCCTTAAAGCTGAGGAGAACCATAGAGTCCTGTGATAATTCTCTGTGGGTCCAAATGTGAAATTGATTATAGTATCTTTCAACAATGGGCTCAGAAGTAATATCCAAATACCGTGACAGCACCAAAACAACATAAACTGCACTATAATACTTGTAATGTTATATGACACGGTTGGCCAAATTGTAAAAGCTTCATTTTGTAGTTCTAAATCAGCTGCAATTGTTCCTGGCATCATCATCCATGGAAGATGTTTCCGTTTGTCTACATGTTTTAAAGTGGTTTGAATGATTTGCCCACAGAAGGATCATTTTATTTCAGTTTGTCTGCACTCATTTCTGTGATATACACTGCACAGTGATACAATGCACATTTTGCTAGAGTAAATATGTTGAACTAACAGTATTTAGAAAGCTTAGCATTACCTTTGGCAGGCTGCTTCGCTCATTTGTTGCTGCTGCTGCTGCTGCTGTGAGCATCTTTTTTCCTTTTTTTTTTATGCTTGACTTCTCCTGGGAGATAGTGTAGCAGCGGTATGTATACACTAAATATCAGCTCCCCAGTATCTGCTGCTGGCTGCCCCTTCGGCACGGGATCTTGGCTTGGCTTATTTGGTTGAATGAATTATTAATGGCTCACCGATTTTCCACAAGTTCCAGCATGTTTTCTTTCTGTCTGTTTTTTTTCGTTGTTGTTTTTTTACTTTCCAGGAGGCTTGTTGTGGATTGCATCTCCGCATCTCCACAGTGCTCATTTGCCCTCCTTTTCTTCCAGAGCCAAACGGAGGAGCGTCAGGAAATATTCTCCACTCTCTGGACTGGATGGGAAGGAGGAGAATCTTTGACCTTGGAAAATGAAGATGTTGTTGCCATGGGAACTGTTAATCCTTCTGTCACTCAAAGAGTGCCTGGCTGGTGAGACGCCAACTCAAGCCACCTTTTATGACACACCTGATGTGCATACAGTACATCTCACACAGGGGGGTTTGTCTCTCTCTCAGGCTCGTATCATTTCATTTAAAAGCAGTTTCCAAAGGCTTGTAACTTCAGTAGCTTTTGTGTCTGGGCACGATCTACTACATTTTTTAATGTAGAAAATATCCCATGTATTTTGAAAGGCTGCAATCATTTGACAAATGCACTGACAGCAGTAAACAAGGAACAACAAACAAGAAAATTATTGAAATAGTCTAACAAAACACATGCATACTTTTTTGAAGCTTAAAACCTTTTGGTTACGTGTCCCCCGTACATCTTCAGAACTACTTTTTCTCCGGTAAGCTACGGGCCATTTCTCAGAGCAGGAGGCTCGTTGACAGTAGTGACACGGTCACATCAGAGCTACAGATGGTCAGCGTTTCACACAACTTCATGTCCAAAAACCTGAACTATCCCTTTAATGGGTTACAAAAGCCTAGACTTCCCCCTGGCGTTGCGTGTTTGGATCTATGTGAAGTTTGAGTGAACTTTAAGTCATTTTAAGACACATTCTCACCATGCTTCTTTTCCTACACCTAATCTCATGAACTTTATTGCCTTTACTTGCCTAAACCTCACCTCTGTGAATTTACATTAATTACGTAACTGTACGTTAAGAACTTAACACCATTTGTGGGGGCCCTAAATGATAGGATATCATATGAACTGTTTTGCATGCTTTTTTTTGTGTAGGATATCATACGAACCATTCAATGAGAATTTGTTACTATATGTGGTTTCCAACATAATTTATAATCAGTTATCACACCCAGAAATTTACTTTCATACACTCTTGTTATTTCAACATAATTTATCAGAATTTTTATTTGATAAGTGATTTTTCACATAAACTTTTTTTTAAATTAAATTCAAGGATAAGTTATTAATATCAAGCCTTTAAAAAAATAAAAATAAAAAAGATAAGATTAGATTAGATAAGATTTTCAATTCCCTCTCCACTGTATTAAGAAGCAGTTCCAAACTTTTACTAGAGCAATATAAGTTAGTGTCAAGCAAATAAAACAAATATTAACCATGTTGACACATCACAAATATCACTAATGTACAGTGACAGACAGTTGTAGCATTCACTTTGTGGTTCTTATTTGCCCTGATAGGCTTTACTGAGCTCTTTTAAAACAGAGACAGACATTCTAATTCAAAACAGGATGAAGTCAAAAGGTAAAGTGAAACTGCCTTACGTCATTCTACAGACTGACTATGACATTTACATCTTTGTCTCATATTTAACTGCAGCCAGAGTTGAAATGATAAACGTGACTTAGTGTTGGATTTACATTTGACTATACGAGTATTCACCCTCTGGTCTTTTTACACCCCTCTGTTTTATTATGCAATTTCCCTGCTTTATGTCCAACTGCTGCCACTTACGTAAAATGTGGTAAGCACTATAAAAATCCACACAAACTCTTTTCTTAACGCTAATGTATTCCATGCTCCGTTCTCAGCAACATAGATTCACAGTGTGCTAAGGAGCTCCGCTCAGCTGAGAGAAAAGCAGAGCAACATTATACTTCACTTCCCTAATACCTGTATGAGCTACAGCTGAGGAGTTCACATCTCTCTAAGAGCTCTCACTTTATGTATGGATATGGTAACCTGTGCAGCCCAAACAACCGAGTGAGATTTAACGTCAGCAGTCACATTAGACGGATATACTGTATACTGAACTTAAGCCAGCCGTTTACAAGTCATCAAACAAATACATTTATATGTATACAGCATATGGAGTGGTGGGGCCCTATTGTATTGTTATTTATGCTTCCATTTCCATTTTACTTAGCATCTGATCTCAAGTCAGCAGTTTCACGCGAGTGTATATCTATGCAGCCTGCAAACACAAGAGAAAGGAATGAAGGGTTATGCAAATAGCAGTGTGTGCTGTACTGTACATTTACATACCTGCTATTGAGCTCACATTTGCATGCATTCCCTTGAAAACATATTAGGTGTAATTTGTGTGTGTTTGTGTGTGTGTGTGTGTGTGTGTGTTTACATGTGCCAGTGGTCAGTCCAGTCAGTGTGTTTACAGGGCAGGACTGTTCTCAAGCATACACACAAACCACCCGATCATTTCCCAGGTGAAATAGCCCGGCTATTAAAGGTTCATTAATTTGTTTAATTTAAAGGACATCGCAACCGGGGTGAAAATGAAGCACCTCCCTCAGAGGCTGAGGAAACAAGGCCCTTACCTGAAGCAAAGACTCCCACTCTCATTAGGATGATGATGATGATGATGATAAGGGAGGGAGCACTCTTCTATGTCCTAGTCAAGGTTAGAGACAAAAAGGAAAAAAGGGGCGATTTTTCAAAAGGTAACAGCGGCGCACAGCTCGGCGTATGACGCACACTGTCAGAGGAAAGAAAGGGCTGGACACCAGTATGTGAGTGTGCGTCTGCTGAAGCAATGTTAGATTTCACGGGAGTAATTAGTGTAACATTGGTTAATAACTCCTGTGTATTGATTGTTTGGCTGGAGCTAACTAAAACAACAAGCTCGACCAAGCAGACACATGCACAAGCAACATGCATTTAGACAACACCCTCTAATAATTAGATCATATCCAGAGTAAGGCAATACTCTGATATTGGAACTCTCAAGTACAGTAAACACCTGAACTGAGTTATCTTACTTGCATTAAAATCACAATTCATTAACAAACAACTCAGTTAGCCAGCTGCGTCACTTGGGAATCCTTCTAAGTAGTTATGACATGTAATATAGCTTCAACTAGTTTCTGTCTGTGTTCTTCACACAGTCAACCACATGCAATTACAGCTGTAAGATAGAATGCCTTTATTGTCATTGCACAGCCAATTTTTCTGTGCAGCTCCTGACACACACAGGCATGCATGCTCACACCCATCACACACACACACACACACACACACACACACGTACACCTGCCACACAGATAGATGGTAATACTAATAAAGGAAGATAAAAAAGCAGTAATAAAAAGAAGTGGCATATCAGAAGCTTCTATTTGTACATCCTGCAAACTGCTTTTGCACTGTATTAAAATATTATTGCATATCATACATACTGAGCATGGGTTTAAATAAAGAGTGGCAGATCTAGTGCTCAGTGAAACACTTTTAGATAATACTTAGCACCACAGGTGTTAGAGCCTTTGCTAAACTGCTTTTTGGGGAAGCAGTTTAGCAAAGGCTTTAGTCTCTCTCCAAAACTAAAAACACAAGAGCAGAAGTGTAAGGAATGGATTAAACAGTGTGATTATTTGCTCCAACCTAAGCTGCAACCATTAGCATGTCTGGCTAACAAGTTTACTAATGCTGCGTTCCTTTCACTTTAGAAGTCAGAGTAGGAGCTGGGAATGATATCACACCTGAGTTGCCTGTGTTCCAGTACCACACGTTGGAAAACCTAAATGGTATTAACAATACCAGTTCTAGCCAAACTAGCCATTGTTAGCAGTACCAGATGAAAACAACACACTACGCTGCATATAACACCATAGCAACATGTCCACAGATAAAATGGTGATGTTCCTCTGACTTTTCGAGTTAGAAATCTGACCTCAGGGAGCGTTCCAGTTGAAATTTCTGACTTGGAACTTGGAAATTCTGAATTCCCACTACAAATGGAACGCATTATAACTACAGTAGTAGCCTAACCCAACATTACCTCCAAGGCCAAGGAGGGAGTGTTAACAAAATTGATGTTTTTGATGCATAAGAATGTTAAATAACTAGCTAATAAAATCATTAGACCTAGATACAGCATTGGAGGTGGGACCCCATTCATTCATATGAAAGTTGCTCAGTGGCACAAGAAGCCAAAAAAGCTTTATTTCTTTGGTATGAAATTACCCAGATGATCCATGCAGCTTATGCATGATTTGGCCCACAGAGCAAGTGCACTAGAGACTTTTGCCAGCCAAGCCGGAGTCTTCAGGTTTAGGGCCCTGCTATTTAAATGGGGATAAAAAGATTTGATTGTGCAGCTCCTCTGAATTCTCCAAATGTTATTAAACCCAGTGGATCAAATCCTGACAGTACAACCAGTCGTTTTGCAGAGGTTGTGATTTTTTTTTTTTTTTTTTTTAACTGATTTACAGACATCGCTTTCACAATGTAAGTCTATGGGAAAAAAAAGTCGTTTAGAGCCCATTGACAACATGTGACGGACTCTGGAGTTGTAATTCCACTAGTTGGGCACTATTGGCTTCTAAGCTCAGCACACTGTTGGGGGCCTGGATAAAATCTGCTAATGACAGTTGCAACCTCAGTCTGCAGCTATAAATGAGAAGCCAGGAAGGAAGGATTGTGTAGTGTAGACAAGTGTAGCAATAATAATCAGTGGGAACGAGAACGATCAAGTCATTGGCAGCCTTAACCCAAAGTCAATTTCACCTGCCACTATACAAATTGTTTTATTTATTTGCAGTTGTCAAACAACAAAATTAAAAGTAAAATTTCATTAAAAAACACACTGTGTTATCTGAATTGCTTTTAAAATCACAGCAAACTGCAATACATAGAGTTTTGCAATCATCTTCTAACACCTCCCAGCTAAACTCCTGTTTCAGGGATGGTTGAGATGGTCCCTTGCGCTTCAGCTCATAAAGTTTGTTTTTATCTGCAGCCATTTTCTTGCGAATGCCTGATCAGTATTGTGCATGTGCAACTATCAACACAGATGCAAGGGAAGCAAGATGGCTCATTCCTTAGCTACTTCCATCATCAGCCTCAGAAAAAAAAACAATATATTTTTTTTTGTTTTGTTTTTGGGGTTTTTTTTACCACTTGCCCCACCAGGCAGGTGGGTTGCCAGATTTACAAGCCAGATGTGGGATTTTACTTGCCCTGGGCAATCCCCACTGTTGTTGATCAGTGCAACATTTTTTTTCTTTTTTCCTTTTCCTTTTCCTGTGAATGCTGCACTTCTGTTTTGACCGTAAGTTGAAAATAAAACGAAACCTGTTAACACTATGTTATCAGGTTGCTGGTATTTACACTAATAAAATGACAGCTGTGCATGTAAGCATCCTGCTGACTATGGATGAGGACAGAAAAATAAAAGACAACTTCATGACTCTTCAGTAAAAGGCTGCATGGAATATGCCAGCCTGGGTTATCTTTGGTTAATTGCTCTCTCATCGTAATGTATTATCTGCCTTCTGACATGTGCACAAGAGGGTTTATTAAATGCAGAATCCACTCAAAGAGGCATGTTGGCAGCTAATTATATGGGTGTAGGGTTTACATACAGTTTTCTGAGCACCGAGTGATTTATTTCTGCATTAATTCAGTGTCACTTGCTCAGCACCATTGTACAGCTAATGTGTTTTTCCCACACAGAGAATACACGCCATGGTCCTGTCTTCACCCAGGAGCCGAGTGACAGCATTTTCCCTCTGAGCACTGATGATAAGCAGGTGTTTATTAATTGCAAAGCAAAGGGAAACCCACCTCCACATTATAGGTAAGTGTTTTCACTGCCCTTTGACTGTCTATAAGGCGAGACTACAGTGTGTTGCATCAGCGAATGTGCTCGCTGAGCTGTTTATGATAGCAGGCTGTGCTACTGTATTGGCTACATTTGCATTTCAGTGCAGTCATGCTTCAGAAGTAGGAGGGTAATTACATTTTTAACCATGTGTGTCCTCGTGGGATGTTTCCTGTAGTTTGGTTGTTGTTTTTTTTTTTTTTTTTTCAAATGGAAAATGGAATGGATTTCAATGGGAGATGGAAACCCTCAGTATTTGCAGACATGGGAAATTAAAGTGTGAAGTGTTGTGTTTGATGATGGTGATGATTTTTATTTTTGTAATTCATCTACAGGTGGAAAATAGACGGGGCTGAAATCAACACAGAGTCAGATCCAAACTACAGCCTTGTGGAGGGGAACCTGTTGATTAATAACCCTCATGTCATCAATCATGGAGGAGTGTATCAGTGCATCACCACCAACACATTTGGCACCATTGTCAGCAGGGAGGCAAAAGTCCAATTTGCATGTGAGTAGAGTAGTAGAGTAGTTTCATGCTGGCTTTTTGTATGTACTGCGCACACTGTTACTGACATGAAATCATGCTTTTTTCCCTTTGATTTGCTGTGATATTATGCATGACTAAACTGAATACAAATTACTTAGAATAGGGCTGCGACTAATGATGATTTTAATGATTAGTTAACAGACCATCAGATCCAAAAACCAACAATATTAAGTATAAAGCAAAAGAAGACTAGCAAAAACCAGTGGACCCAGAAAATATTTACCATTTATGCTTAAACAGTTACCTTTTGATTAATTGATTATTTAAACATTTTCAGATTTTTTTTAAAGAAAATATTCATCCACTGATAAAATAACTGATCATTGCAACTCTAATTCATATAATGAAGACAAAGTGCTTCTATAACTGCGCTAGCAGATATGGATTTTGAAGTGGTCAGTCTGTCAGTCCACCACTTTGGTCCAGAGGGAAATATCTGGACAGATGTTGATGTGACTATTCATGAAATTTGGTGCATTCACTCCCCTGACGTTTTATCTAGCGTCTCTGACAGGAGCATTTTCCACGTGCTAAATATTTAATGACAGGATACCCTAACTATGTCAGTTTTTTTTTCTTTCAGAATGTTGACAATATAGTGGATATTAAAGTGATAATGCCCCTTTAAAGGCATACTTCAACCTCCAAAATGATCATTTGTATATCATTTATTCACTTTGTGTTGCGTTTAATTTGTGAAGAAAATGTTACTGTTGTCTCACATGCCTCTGGTCAATGTAGAATCCAAAAAATGAGAAATCCTTGATGAATTTAAGTAAAGAGGGACCACATTTAACAAAAACAAAACTATATCAATTTTTGTTTACATAATTTTTCCAAATCCTACCACAGATCTGCAAAAAACAAAACAAAAAAAACCCCCATAAAAATATCTGTAGTGCAATTACTGGCCAGCAGGTGGCGACATTCTCTTACATGAGATAACTGTACCAAGTAAGCTCAAACAAAGAGCCTATCTAGCATCCGCATCCTTAACAATAACAATTGGACACAAGGATAGAAGTCAGCTGCTATTAGGAAATGTTTGCCTTTAAGGACGTATGAGCACATATTTAGTAGAACTTATGAAATAAAAATGGATCATTTAAGGATAATATCACAATCACAATGCTAATTTTGGGTGGCATGTTAATAGGAATTTCCATTATGTGTTAGCATCGAGCTAATGGACTAATTTGACGCAGTGGTGGAAGAAGTACTCTGATCATTCACTCGGGTAAAAGTACAAGAGAAACAGAATGTACTCATTATGCAGAATGGTCCATTTCAGATCAAATAAAACGACTGACGCATTAATGTGTTTATCACTTTAATGTTGAGACTGATAAATGTGGGGCATTTCTTCTTCTGCTTTTCTACTTTTTTTCTCTTATGTTTATCCATCAGTTGATTTGTTCTTTGTGTTTATTATTAGTCTCAATCTGCAGTTTAACTAGTATTTAAATGTATCAAATAAATAAAAGGGTAGTGAAAAAATATTTCCTTCTCAGATGTAATGGAGTAGAATAACGTAGCAGAAAAGGAAATACTCGAGTACTTCAAAATTATACTTAAAGCACAGTACTTGAGAGCAAACGTACTTCATTACCTTCCACCACCACTGCAGACTTTACACAACACAAAAAGTATGTAAAAAGATTGTTTGGGAAGCACTGGACATACAGCAGGATAAAGAATGGATTATGGATTATACTGCACGAGTTGTGAGTTTCTAAATGGTTGTTTTGATATAGTTTTGCCATCGTTAAACATGGACTACTGAGTTACTTATATTCATCAAGAATTTTCGGCATTTTTGGATTCTTCGGTCAAAGTGGAGGCAATCGAGAAAAACATAGTTTTCCTCAGGAATTCAACGTAACATGGGGTGAGAAACTGATATACACATGATCATTTTGTGGGTGAAGTCTTTCTTTAATTTCCAAAAATAGTAGTATTAGCATGCTATTATGCTAAACATTAATCGCACGTTGCTGCTAGTTGGGTTAGATGTGTATAGTCTTGTTTGCAGATGTTAGCAGCTGGCAACAGACTGATGGCTCCATTTTTGTAACACAGTGTCGCACCAGCAAACTGGTTTTCCTGGAGCACACTGAGGTTATTTCCTTGACTGTTGTGCCTTGATATCTTGATGACTTGTCCCCAGAAGTGAAGTCCACTAAAAAAAGTCCTCACCAGCTCTTGGCAGTGTGTTTGGGCTGCTGTGGTCAAATTTGAAAGATGTTGTTCCAGACAGCAGTAAGCTTCCTTTGAGGAAAAATCCCCACATGATTCCTAAACTGTCACTGCGTCATGCCGGGGAGAGCTCTGCGCAGTGGAAGTATTTGATGTGATTGGCCGTGAATGTATTATTTCTGGTGTTACTTCGTATCCAAGTACAGCATCTCAGATTGAATTGCTATGTCTGGAACGACGGTTACCTCTTCATACTAGTAGGTGTCACAGATTTTTTTGTCAGTCAAGTACTGATTGACCACTGCTGATATTTGCTTGGCCTCTCCTGGGACCTGGTTGGTATTTCTTAGACTTTGGGATTGATATGTCTTCCCGCTGTTTATTCTCTCACACTGCACAGCAGCATTTAATTAAAGGTGAAAGTAATCTCTCAAGCTCCATTGGTGAGGGGCACGTTGGTGCACCTTCCACCAGATCTCCTGTACGTGCTGTGATATTAACAGGGGACTCTCGGGTTTGACTTGTAAGCAATGTGGGCAGACAAGGAAATATTCTGCAAAATTAAATGCCCTTTGCTGGATGTCACCTTTATGTAAAGTTATTTCAGCTGTCAAACACTGAAAAGTTTTTTTTTTTCAATTTTATATTCAACAGTTCTGCAGAACTTCAGCAGGAAGTCGAGGAACACGGTGTCAGTGAGAGAGGGTCAAGCTGTGGTTCTGCTCTGCGGCCCTCCACCCCATTACGGAGGTACAGCACTCTGTCCTAACTCTTCTGCATTGTCTGCTGTAGTCTCACACTCCTGCTTGCCTCAGCAGTCTTTATTGTTCCTCACTGTGCGGCTTATTATCTCCCTGTAACACTGCTGTGTCTCTTTTTGTTTTTATACCTTCCCCACCTTCTCTTTTTGCTGTTCTTTCTTTTCCAACTCTGACACACTATTTTCCACTCCTTTCTCCTTATCTGTCAGACGGGGAAGTTTTTATGATCAGCCACTGCTCTACCTGCCCAGGCCCATGCCTTCACATAGTTCATAGCTTCACACTTCTTAACCTTGAGCTCACTTTTCTCGCCCATATGATCTGTGACCATGCTGTCATCTATAAAGTCTCCAGTGCTCCACTTCCCCAACTGTCTTTTTTTTCTTGATGTGGGCAGGTTATCTGTGGGTAATAAAGTCTGCTGGTGGCTGCTGTGGCCGGGGGAGCGTTTATCCAGTGGCACAGCTGCGAGTCGGCTCGTGTGTCTGTGTGCTGCTGATTAGCAGACCCTCAAAGTGGTCTGCACTCCTGCAGCCATTCGGTGCCCACCAGCACAATTTCACGCCAGCGTCCCAGCCTTTCTCCGCTCTTTGCTGCCAGCTGAATCCTACGGCCACGTGGGATTCCACACTTTAGCAATTTGCCTTCCAGCCTTCCCTCCCTCCCCCTTTAAAAGCCTCCATCTCTTTATTTTTCCTCTTAAACACAGCATAGTCACACATTTGATAGGATTTGCTCTTCACGATAATGCTAGCTTGAGGTGTTTCAAAATTGAAAAACGGTCTTTTTTTGTGGCCACAAGGTTTAAATTATGTCAGAGGTTCTTTAATGCTTGTTGATGCGCCACAAGAGGAGTACGGTGATGCACCTCGGTAAAAGAGGAATCATCTGAAGCTTCTTTGAGCAATCAATAGGTAAGTGGTCTAAAAGGAGCCGTGCTGAGAGTTAAACTCTGTCAGAGGACATGAGATTATGTGCCTGCAAGTCCTCTGTTGCTGTGAGACTGCAGCTCTTAAACAGACCCACTCTCTGATAGTCCCTAATCATGAAAGGTCTGTCAGTTTCTGCCCTGACTTTCCCCTGTAATGATTTTAATTCACTGTTTTCCCTCAAGGAAGCGAGTGGGACTTTTTACCGTCTGCCCAGTCAAAAGGGCTGCCTGCAGAATGTCATGTGTCTGATACAGGAGGGCTGCACTAATCGTCAAGTTCAGTCTGCAGTCCCTGCAGACATCTCTGCCGCGTCTTTCTCCTGCTGTGTCTGTGTTTTACACCGCTACGCTGACATTCTTATCATTCCTTTTCATTCTTTATTTTGACATGAATCCTCCTTGTCAATGTATATGGCAAAAGTCGGCGCTGGACTAAAATAGATATTTCCTGTAATACAGACAAGCACACAGGAACTAATAATAACACGTGTGACCTTATGACCTGCCAACATCTGTTGCAAATTCCATCTTTGCTTGATTTTACTCTGATACCAGTCCTGGTTCTTATTCAAAAGATAAGGCAGGAGTTATCCTATGTGTTTTTTTATTGTTGGCAGATTATGTGATAAGTACAAAACATATACTGTCAACAGTGGTGCCTCCAGAATTTTTTCATAGGGGTAGTCATATGAGGGTCACTGAATATTTCTGGGTAGGACCACAAAACCAAAAGCCATCACTGAATTACAGGAATTCAGTTATGCTGTTGTGATATATAGACGAGCTGAAAACTATGTTAATATGGAGAGATAAGAACTAGTATACTGATATACTTTGCTTTTCACTTTACAGGTCATATTACTAATTATCTCATGTGCATGGTAGAGATTATATTTTGTGTTCCATAAAAATCCTGTTTTAATGTGTCATATTTATATGCATTATGCAATTCATTGTTCTTCAAAAAAGCTGGTTGTCTGTTTCCTTAAAAAGACAAGTATACAGCTTTCTTTTGAAGGAGTTCATTGATTGTAAGGAACAAAACATTTACTGGTAACAAGCCCTTTTCATGGGTACCCATAGAACCCATTTTCTTTCTTGAGGTGAGAGCTCAAGGGAGCCGTTTGAAAATGGCCACACCACTTTTTTCCTCTCAAAATTTGAGCTTAATTTTGGGGTGTTATTTAGCCCCCTTCCCGATAAGATAGCATGCCATGACTGATGCAAATGGATGCCCTAGGTTGCCTAGTTTCAGAACATCCCACTGCCTTTGTGCTCACTCAAAAAATTTATTTTCACAAAGGGGGGTAGTAGGGGGTCCAGCAATTCTTTCAGGGTGGCCATGGCCTCCCCAGCCCCCCATTGGGGGCATCACTGACTCAACCTGGAGATGCAGTCTGACAAACGCCCTGTGTTTGAAAAATGCAAGGGGCTGGTTTGGTTGGGACATGCTGTATTAGCCAGTGAGACAATGAAATACAATCCAGCAAAGCAGGTTTAAGTGACAGATCCATAAGTTTAAAGGCTGATAAGATGCCAAAACACAGCAATGCTTTTAAGAATGCTACAAGACAGTCTCTAACTCTGGAAAGCTATCATGTAACAATCGTTTTATTATTAATTGCAACAATGTTGAGGTTATTAATAGAATTATATTGCTCACATCCCAAAGTAATCCACTGTGAATGTACGCTTGCGCCTATTTGATTGCGCAAGAACACTGAGCCAGGTTCTACTTCTTTACAGGGCGACCTTGCATCCTTTTGCTGGAGCTCTCTGTGTCAACACCCCTGCTGAGCAACACAGCGGGCCAATTCAAAAGAATGAGGGGGCTGCGTTATTTCACACAGTCTGTCTGAACTCAACCTTTGTCCATCTCTCAATAGTTTCCGACTTCCTAACTCAGCCTGTGGCTCTTAGTCCCAAGTCAGTTCATTCCTACTGAATGCACACGTCTTTGAAAACTACAAAGCTCAGCTTTTTAAAATGAAATGGTTTTCAGAAAACAGCTGGGCACTGTTTTTTTGTTTTCTTTTCAAACAAGACTCAAACAAAGACAGTCGTGGATTTCTTGTACATTTATTTCAGACTAACACACATTTTGTGGGCTTGGGACTATCTACTGTAGCAGAACAGTGCATTGACTCACATCTACTACAATGCCCACAAAACTACAGTGCCAAGGTTAAATGTAATAAAGGTCACCCAGTGCAACGCTGGGGCTGATTTATGTATTCTATTATATATAAAAAATATTTTTGATGACTCATCCTGACCTCAGGAGTGAATGCATAAATGCATCAAATGCGATCTGGGGCCAGCTAACCCTGCATTTTATATACTTGCCAGCTTCTGAGTTGTAGTAGTTAGCGGAGCAATAGCATAGAGGTGAAGTGTGGGTTCAGATGTCACTTAGCAAAAATGTTTCTCTCTACAATGTCAAATCCTACCAAACTTACTAAGCCTCACCCATTTCTTTAGTGACTCAACCAAGCCAGAACACTTTCTGCCAACATACTCTGTTAAAAGCCCTTCTCCAGACATTGTTACTTCCTGTTTTGTGGGGAGGATGGGAACGTGGTTAATAGTCGGATGTAATCTACCAACGTTACTGTGACAACCAGATAGTCAGTTTCATCATTAACAAGGGTCGCGACAGCATGGATGTTAGCATGGATAGTGATAGCACAGTTAGAAGGAGGAGAATTTTTCTCCACTTCCTGCACCTAAAACTGAGGACCCCAAAATGACGAGTGTCAAGAGACCATGTGCACTTGAGTTAATGGCTTGCTTTGTGGGAAAAGCCTCTTGTGCCTCTATGGTTTCTTAACCCCCAGAGCCAGCACCTTGCCCCAGCTGAAGATGTGCACAACTCCAACTTATCTCATCAACTGGGAGAAATGTACAGTAAGCGGTGAGCAGCCAAGTGGCAAGTTGTCTACGTTGCATGAGCTCTCTTAGCTTTTTTGGACATATAAAAACAAATAAACAACTCTGTTACATTCCACATTGATATAAACACAAGAAAAATGGCCGTCATGAAAGAAATTTTTGCTATTTCAGTTTTACTCAGCGGCAGTTCGTCAGCTCAGTGGGTGCGCTTTGTGCTACTGGGTTAGCTCGCTGAATGAGAGTGTCACTAGGCAGCGGCTCTCAACTCATTCTTCGGCTCAGTGGGTGTGTGCTTATGACAATGACTAACAAGCTCACAATGATGGTTACTGGTTTTGCCGCTCAGATGTAAGAGACAGAGGGCACCTGCGCAAGCTTGGAGCTTGACATACGGTCTACAACTTCTACTATAGTCACATTATCTTCCTGTTTTAGGAGCAACCTTCTTTTATTTAACTCATAATATTCAGACCGTAGCTAAAGAAGCTTGGGACCCTCTAACTGCCATTTATCTGGGCCTTGAAATAGGCAGGCTTTAGCTACACAGAAAATACTTTATGCAGTCAGTTTATTAATGGTGTTGGTATTTTCATGGGATTTGTTGACAAAAAGAAAAATATGAAATATCACCAGCCTTATCCTTTGAAGTCATCTTATATCTGTATTTTCGGCAGAGAAATACAATATCACATAATTTCTTTGTAATAATATCTGTCCCCATATATTTACTGCAGGGGTTGCTGTTATTTTGGAAATGTGACCGGAAGGTGCATATGATTTTATTACCTTTCTCTTTTCAGAGATCAAATATTCATGGGTTTTCAACGGACAGCGAAGTTTCCTGAAACAGGACGCCCGTCGTTTTATCTCTCAGAAGACGGGCAACTTGTACATAGCCAAAGTTGAAGCCTCAGAAGCAGGGAACTACACGTGTGCAGTGAGAAACATGATGACCAATGCCACCGTGTTCAGCTCCCCAACCCCTGTGGTGGTGAGGAGGGACGGTAAGCACCCTCAGTTCGCCTCTGCTGCCTCCTGGTTATCTTGCGCACTGAACTGACACGCGCTGACGGAGGGAGGGCAAGCATGGGAGATAAATCGCTTGTCTTGAGCGTGACACTGTTTTTGCTTTTGCTTACGAGCGAGGTTTTTTTTTTTTTGCACCATCCCAAAGCCTCTGAACTATACAGGGTTATGTATTCGAGAAACCCTCTTTGTCTGCATGAAGGCACACATTTACATAACCAGAAATGTAGCCGGCAAATATGCATGCAGGCACACACACAGCAAGGAGCTTGCCACACATACTAAACCCCATCAGGACCGTTTATGTGTACCACTTCAGATTTGAGCTGAGGCAGATATGTAATCCAAACTCATCCATCCGCTAAGCCAAACGCTGTTGTATACAGCATCAACACGCACACTCGCTCTCTGCCAGTGTCATCCGCGCCACGGCTCTAACATCCAATATGAATTACAGGAAACTGCATGTCCATGTTTTGTGTTTTGACTGATGTGATTTGCTTTTATCCCTCATGCAGCAGTGATGGGTGAATATGAGCCAAAGATTGAGGTTCAGTTTCCCGACACCCTTCAAGTCTCTAAAGGATCATCAGTGAAGCTGGAATGCTTTGCCTTAGGAAAGTAAGTGTCAGAAACATTAGCACGATGCAGCTCTGCCCCTCACATTGCATTGTCAAATTTATGATGCGGCCTGGCATGCTCTATTACAACAAAGAGACAGACAAACACGGCCGCACTCCTTCTGGTCAGTGTGAGCAGGAGCATGTGGCCAGCATGACCTTTTGTGTGTGACCTCTGCAGCCCTGTGCCTTCCATCTCATGGAGAAGAGCTGATGGAAACCCACTCCCTGGCAAGATTAAAATCAACCTCTCCAGTGGGGTTCTGGAAATTCCATATTTTCGCCCGGAGGATGCCGGCGTGTATGAGTGTGTAGCCGAAAACAGCAGAGGACGAAATGTTGCCAGAGGGCAACTTGTATTCCACAGTAAGAGCCTTGTATATTTTTGCTTCCTGTTTCATGGAGATGACTGCTAAACTTTTTCTGCTAAACGGTATTAGTTGATATCCACTAATATAGTATTTATATTTGTTAGAAAATCATCTGAAGGGCTTTATTATTATCTAATGTAGTTATTTTTTTTAGTATGAAATTAGAATACCAAGATAATCTGGAGTTAATTTATGCTCAGTGGGCTTCATGCAGCAACATGCTCTTAAAGATATGCTCTGCAGGACTTCACTAAAAAACAATGTATCAAAAAAGTAAACTCTCTCAGTTATCACCTATGGCCCAATAGAAGTGTGTGATGGTGTAGTTTTCTGCAGAGACGCCTTCCTCTGCCTGTGTTTTCTTCTTATTTTCTGTGTTAGGGATGTTTATGGGTGTGTATTCCCACAGTGCTCAGGTGAGGTTGGGGTTTTATAAAAAACAGTAGCGACCAGGTTCCAGACTGTAAGCAGCAGTCATCCAAGAGATACAGCGCTGATAAATCCCAAATATAGTGAGGCGAAACACCAAAGGACAGTCAATCTGGGGTTTCACTTTCTCTTTCACTGGCAAGCGATTACAAACAGTAACCTACAGTCCTGCATGGTATGCCTTGAATTATACCTGAAATTTTTTAAAGAGAAAAATAAGAGAAGCCAACTCCAGATGCATCAGTTGTTCTTTAACATGTCTGCTCTTCCCTTTGTGTGCTGAATGATGAATCCCACTTGATACTGACTAACCTATTAGCATTTGTAATGCCCCCTTAACATTATATGAGGTCAGATGTTGTGTCATGTGCAAACACTTTGGCACATGCCCAAGAATTGGAGAGATGCCACCAAACAAAGGCTGTAAGAAGAATAAGTTATGGAGTATAATGAAATCGATATTCTGTTAAATAAACTTAAAAAAGGTAAATGTGAATTTCAAGAATGTCAGTACTGATGTTACAGGAAAATAAAAAACGCAGCAATCACACAGTGTTTGTGATGCTGTAAATGTCGTGTCAGCAGCAGTGGTGGAGGACTAATACCAGACAGTAAAAATAATCTGTTACTTTTAAGAGTCCTGAATTGAAATTCTTCATAATGCGAAAATAAATAAATAAATTAGTCAAAATAATTTTTAAGAAAGCAGTAAGTCAGCAAGAGAGGCTGGAACCAACAACTGTTTTTTTTTTCATGAAAAATTACTTATTTTCAAATATTTTATACATTGAGTTTTTCCAATATGCCAAACACACACATGAAGAGAGAAAGAGAGAAAAACAGTAAGAACAGAACGTCCACCTCAAAAAGGCCAGAGTATATTAAGCATATGATAATAATGATAGTAAATTGTACATGCTAAGAGCTGAGTTTGCAGTACCCACTGCTACTGCAACAAAAGGTCCAGCAGAGTACAGGAAGACCCACCCAGAGAGACCAACAATAAACAAAGAGAGAAACACAGCGTTTAATAGTTGTCGATGATCAGGCCGAATGTGAGGTACTTAATCAGGACAAATACCTGCATAAATGCACTTGTAGGACAACCTGCCCCTTAATATGATTCACAAAGGGCCCCCAAATCCTCACAAGCATAGACATAGATTATCTTAACATGAAAAATTAAGATATATCTAAAATGATTATCAAAATTGTTGCCAATTCATTTTCAATTGACTTATCTTTTCAGCTGCACTTACTTTCTTGTGATTTGTGTGCAAAAAATCTTAATTTGTTAAGTTACTCAAGTTAAATCAAACCACTGTAGTGGAGTATAAAGTACACTATATTCCTCGGAATTGTAGTGCAGTATAAGTAGAAAGTTGCATGAGGTCAAAATACTCAAGTAAGTACTTCAAATTTGTACTTGAATACAGTACTTTAGGGGAAACACAGTAAATAAAAATGAAAAGACAATGGTTCTAAAAGCAATGCCCTTGGCAAACTCAAACAGTTCTGCAGCCATTCATCCATCTCATTGAACAGATCTATGCAATCTGTAGAAACGTGTTCCAAAGCTGAACACACACAATATCACCCAAGGGTCTATATAGTCTTAGCTAGGATCAAGACTCTTATAGAATAGAATAGTTTCTCTTTAGCCCAAAAAATTAATAATCCAATCTTTATAATTATTCTAAAAACAGTCTAGATTCAGTTATACAATAGTCATACATTTCTTGATGTTCCTCAAATAAAACCTGCTTATGTTGGACAACAAAGAACTTTTTTTTTTTCATTGCTATTCCACGATAGGCAACCACATACCACCATCTGAAATAATGTAATCATCATAATTATAACTGAACATAACAAATCCCCGTTATTATTACTGTCGGTTCAAGTATTGCTGTTCTGCGTGTGGTTTGTCCAAATGGAGTTGCTGTAGCAGAATGCCAAGGCTGGTTGCCATGGTTGCCATCAACATTGTCGCCAGACTGCTGTATGGGTAATGTTCCAGGCAGGCAATGTAAATTTGTCAAGAATGTAATATGAGCATTACGTAGGCTATATTGTAGTTGTTTATTGCGATTTTGTAAAGTGTTATGAAATTTTGATGTCGTGAATGGTTATTGTTTTGCCAAAAAGAAACGTATCTCATATGTTAGTGAATTTGTACATATTTTACTTTAGAAATTCAATGGCAGGAAGTAAGGGTGTGTGTGTTGGGGGAGGGGGGGGGGGGGCGTGCAGATTTGGTCCCCACCAATGTTGACTCCATGGCTACAGCCTTGTAAAAAATGAAATGTTTTTCTTTTATCTTGGTAAAGTCCTCTCAACCAGTCAATTTTCTCTTACCTCAGAGGGGGCAAAATAAGAAAACATTGGTAAATCTCAGAAAGCAGTGGCTCCTAGTAAAATAAGACCAAACCCTGGATACAAACAAAAATAAAACAGAATTTGTTGCATATCGCTTTCCTCCAGAGGCCCAATGTCTGCATTTTCCTGTGATCGTGACAATGAAGATCTCTGCGGGCATACCGGACGTTTCTTTTAACCAGTGGCTTGAGGTAGAAAATGAGATTACTCATATGTCAGGATAGGTCTACCACCTCCATAGAATCAAAAGAAACTGGCTGTCAAACTGCAGGCTTTGAAATTAGTCACCGTCTACATCAGTGAGTGTTCACAACTGTCTTCCATAGGCAGAGAGATGAGTGAGAGTCTGTACTGTTCCTGTCTGCTGTGTGTGTTGATGAGGAACTGGAAGAGATGGATGCCAGTCTGTACATATTTGGTTTAATGTAGAACTTGCACATCTGCTGATTTAATTCTAAGCCACCCAGTTTGACATCAGCAGTGCCTTACATGAAGGCATAAGTGGCTGTCGACACAAAGCGGTAGTAATGCACACCAAGGCGAGTTCATTTGTTTGGCACATTTCATACACAAATGTAATTCAATCTACTTTGCATAATCTATTCAGATGGAGATAAGCCATAAAAAAACTTTAACACAGCAATTCAAAAGATTGAAACCCTTTTAAAGAAATTAAAAATGTAAAAAAAAAAACAGAAATGAATTAGAGTGCAAGGTGGTAATTAGGGCCCAAGGTTCAGTCAAAGGCAGCGCAGAACATGAAAGAGCCTGGAGTTAAGGGTGGTATTAAAAGTTGGGCCATATCCTATAACTTCTGGAAGTTAGTTCCAGTTCTGTGGTGCAAAGTAACTAAATGCTGCTTCCCCATGTTTAATTTGGACTCTGCTCAAAGAATGGAGAAGATGAGGCGGCTCATTTGGTAAAAGACAGAGATGTGTTGAGGTCCTTAACGATTGAGAGATTTATAGACAAGCTGCTGTGATTCAGACTCTATTTTATGACACACTGGAAGCCAGTGCAGGCATCTGAGCACTGGTGCAATGTGTTGAGTTTGGTTTGTCTTTGTTGGGGCTCAGCAGCAACATTCTGAATGAATGAGCTCAGGTTGCCTCAGAGTTTGTTTCAGGAGGTCTGAGAAGAGACTGTTAAAGCTTGATTGTGCATAGACATGAATCCTTCCAATCTTACTACGATAGTATGCAGACTTGATTATTGATTTGATGTGCCTTTTAAAGTTTGCTCTGAGTCCATAATTATACCAAGATTGATTTTTGTGTATTTATTTGGAACCCCTTAGCTGTTACCGGGGCAACAGCAACTCTTCCCGGGTCTGTAGGAAAAAAATAACGACAATAATTTCATGTGATTATGTTAATCAAAAGAAAGTGAGTTATATTACATAGTAACAGTTAGTAATATTACATACATGTACATATACATGTACTTACATATAAGACAGAAACAAAACAAAGTGCAGGACTAGTTTGTAATATCATCATCAGTACTTCAGCATGCATACTGCAATCAAATATCCATAGCTGGTCTACAGGTACAATGAAGAGCATTACACTTCCCCTTGATGTTCTTCTCATGAACTATAAAATCCTATATCAGTCAGAATTTCCTTAAATCTATCTGTACCTCATTAGCAGTCTCCTCAGCTGTTTTTTTTAATGTAATCCTGTCAGGTATTTCCTGATAAATGATAAGAATAAATACAAAAATGTAGCAGGAGTGCTAAAGCTGATTCTGACTTGACTGAAAACTTCTAGTTTTTCCTACTTTGGTACAAAAACAGTATATTCAGACATCATGGTGGAGAGAGCACTTTTTTTAGAAGAGGTAGGAGGTGCTAATTTGGTTGGCCTTGATTGTTACCAGCCAGGACAGTTGTCATCCTCAACCTGGGCTTTGTCACACCCCTTGGCGTGTGATATCGGCGCTAAAGAAACCCTTTAGTGTGTGTATGAGATGCACCAGGGTTTCAACTATCTCCAGTGTAAACGCTGAGAGCAACTGACATAGGTTAAACCAGAAAGTCCAGGTAGGGTGGGAGGGAGGGGAGGTGGTGAGGATGGGTCAAACAGGAAATCACAGTTCATATCTCACACGAAACCAAAAGTCAGTGTTATTTTAAGGTATCGTGATGTAACTTACATAACTGGCGTACCTGTGTCCTGTGTGAAACCAAACCAACTGCTGTTGTCACAACGTAATGTTAACTAATTTTACATTTGATAACAAACATACTTATTTTATCCCCAAATGTGGCATATTTTTGTAAACCTAACCAAGCAGTTTTGTTGCCTAAACCCAGTGGTGAAGTGAAGGTATACGCAGGTGGACAGGGTATACCCACCTCTTTTTCTGCTTGTTTACAGTATACCCACCAATCAGCCAATAAGCTAGCCGAATATATAGGAGTATACCCACCTACTCCTTGGTAACTTACCCATCTACCTAGTAGTGTGCCCGCCTCATTACCTACCATTACACCGCTGCCTAAACCTAACTGCAACAGTTTTACGATGTTAACCACGTTACAATGTGTTTCAGCTCTGCATCACATAGAGACACTTAAGAGTGCCCTTTGTGTTGCTTTGAGACACTGACAAAGCCTCTGTATTTGATGATCTGGGAATGAGAACAAGTTGTATCAGCACATAACACACTCACTCATAATGGTTGACAGCACTTTGTGCCATGTGCCTTTATTTACAAATTCACAGCTCACACATTGGTACTCTTTATATCTTGTCAATGCATTCATGATCAGATCATGCAAAGAGCAGAGTTACTTATAGTTGATTGTGCATTCAGGTTTTTCATGTGAAATTCTGTATTTCTGAAGGGTAATAAATTGAAGTAAATTATGTAGTTGTATTGAAAAATGAGGTCATAGTGGGAAAAAGAAACTCAAAGGGGACAAAAAAGTGAGCACACCAAAGAAATGTGTAGGAAGCTGCAATTAATTAGTGGACCAAAAACAGTCAATTAATAAAAGCTACATAGTGCTAACTAAAATAGATAGAAAAACAGGGCAGTAGTAAAAAATGAACAGTGAGTAAATGAACAATATATTAACATATTTGAGAAGATGAAACAAAGAGGGGGAAAGTTTTATGGTTTTGTACTCATTAAATTTGAACTTGATGATCACTGGAGTGTAAAATCCTTTTTATTGATAAGACATCTACTATTAGAATTTGACTACATTTACAGTAAATCAGTGTTGCAGGGAGAACTCAGATATCACCTCCTCTCTCTTCCCCTCTGCCTTCCTCTATCCTCTGTCTTAGCTTTCTCATCTCTGATTGCAGGTCTTGTGTAAACTGTATTTTCTATGAATTATATTTTTTTTGTCTTTTGGTTTATTGACCCCCGTTGCTTTAATAATGCAAGGAGGCTGGCAGATCAGTATATATTGTAATTTAATGAATATTAGTTGAGTTGAACTGCAGTCTCAATTCATTGAATAAACTGAATTTGAAATTTTCATCATTTTAGTATTTTCAGCAGAATACATTTTCATTTTTTGCTCTGAACTTGGTGATCTGCAATCCATGAACTGCGCCTACTGTTCAGTGTGCCTGCAGGTCAGTCCCAGGCACTGACTGCGTGATGAGCTTCTGCCCCAGTAAATCGGAAGCTAATTACATGCCGATTGCAGGCACAAATTGAATGAAACAAGTAGTGCAAATTTGCCATGGCCTTTCATGTATGTAAATCTGACCAGAAATCACTACAGCAATCAAGATGAGACAGAAATTTACTTCACATTAAGAGCAAACACCCATGTCCCAAGTTTATAAAAAATACTCTACAATCTTTTGGCTCCACTTTGTGTATTGTCATTAAAAAGTGGTGTAGGAATTTATCATTCAACTCATCAGTCGTTACTTAATTTCCAAGATTAAAGTCGTAAATATACATGGGAAAAAAACTTGGACACTGAAATAAAAGTAAATTTAGGGGGAAAAATATTGCCTGAAAGTCAGGTTGCTGTGTTCATATGCCCTCAAAACTGAAAATAAAAAGTCAACTAAGGCTTAAAATAATTATAAGCCACCATTGTTTCACATTTGACACAAACCCCTGTCTCATAGGTGAAAGTCATGTGCTCGACCCATTCATCCACCACAACTTTCTCCTTGTGTAGACTTTGTCATATACTATGTCATATACTATGTCACCTGACTGCTGGCAGTAAATTTGTGAATTTTGCCTCAGAAATTTACCACTTTAATCTCAGAGAATTTCCAAGTTTTTTCTCATAAATTTACAACTTTAATCTTTGAAATTCTTAGAGTTTTTTGAAACATTACCCCTCTCTCCTGGCTCAGTATTTTCTTTTACCAAGAGTGGCCCAGATTTGCTGTTGTATTATACAGATATTTGTAAAACTAAATAAATTTGCAAATATCTTTGACATTTCTGTCAATGAATATTCATATTCAGTGGTATTTTTCACAGATGTTGAACATCTGCACTGGGTCCAAACACTGAAAGATGCTCACATGGCAATTGATGCGAATCTGCAGTGGGAATGTAAAGCCATCGGTAAGCCTAGGCCTACATACAAATGGTTGAGGAATGGTCAGCTCCTGACAGCAGAGGTAAGACACCACACTGAGATTTGATATTTATCGGGAGATGTTGGAACCTCACTGTGAATTTACAATACATAAAAAACACTAAATGCACTGTTCTCTCAAACAATACTGCAAAGGTCTCAGAGTAATTTAGAAATGTGTTACAAAGGCTTAGCTGATGCTGAACTGGAAACTTTTAAAGCATGTTATAGGACATTCAGGTTGTAGGCTGGGATTGCCTGCACATGGCTCTCACCTCTGATGTCACAAGCAAATATGGAGTTAACTGAGCTAAGACGGTGCACCAACATTTATGCGTGGCCTTCCCGACTACCAAAAAAAAGAAAAGAAAAGCTCAGATTTCATTCAGTCACTATATCTTAACATAGCTAATACTTCACTGCTGCTATATTAAAATCTCATATAAAGAGCCTTTAACATATCAGTGAAAATTATTTGTCAAACATTAATCAGCTGGTCTGGTTTGCAGGAGAGGATCCATGTGGAATCTGGTAGACTGACTATATCCAGGATCAGTCTGTTGGACTCTGGGATGTATCAGTGTGTGGCAGAGAATGAACATGGAGCTGTTTATGCTAGCGCTGAGCTCAAGGTTGTCGGTGAGCAGTTTATTTCCTCTGTATTATTTACAATGAATTGGACCAGAGGCAAGGTAGAAATACACTGTATGTACATTGTGTTGTCAGTGGAATGAAAGGGCTTCCGACTTGAAAAAGTTAATAAATAAATAATAAGAGGCTGAACTAGCTCCTCACTGAGCCATGGTCTTGCACTTTCATTTCCATAATTCTTTCATACAATAAGCCAGTCTGGTGGTAAAATATAATTTCCGTAATTGCTGGTGATGCACTTGACATTTTTGCTGATGCACGGCTGCTGCCCCTCCACAAAGAGAGACAAATGGCCTTAACATGGGTCTGTTCCTCAGCCTCCCCACCGGACTTCACCCGGCGGCCCGTGAAGAAGTCCACAGTGATCCAGAGGGGGGGTGAGGTGGTCTTGGAGTGTCGCCCCCACGCCTCCCCCCGGGCCACAATCTCCTGGTGGAAAGGGGGCGAACTCCTGAAGGACAGCAAGAGGTAGGGTACTGTATGCACTGCTGCTCATGCTACTGATGGCATCTGTTAAAGGGTTTGCTCATGTGGTCATTTTCATTTCTAGGACTCATTGTTATTTATGCCTCTGCTCAAGGGGACTTTGGAAGTCACTGTTGCATAGCACAGCCAAGGAAGTGTTTTTTGGTTGTTGTTTTTTGTAAGACAGACACCTTATTCTTGACATAGAAAAGATGTTGCTTTTTTGTCGACATATAGTAGTTTTGTCCGAAGCCTTTCGACTGGATGTAAGAATGAGGCCATGGCCTCCTACTCTATCAGTTTTTAAAGCACAAGATAAAGAGTGCAGCTGTTTGAAACTTCAAAGTGTCCCACAGTTTCACAGCTCTTCAAGGCAGTCAAAGTGCTGGATGTAGAACAGAGATCCTGTAGGGACGCTCTCTGTGTGAAAACCACAGAGAAAAACGATCTCACTGCATCCCTGAGTGAAACTCTACCTGAGGCGACATGACAGGCCACACCATGTCATGATCTTAAGTCTTTGTTGTTGCACTCGGCTTTAGCAGAGACTAATACATACAATAAGAACTAGCAGAGTTCAAGCACAGTATGAGAGCTGTTTTCATTAAATGTTCACTGAAAGAGCACGAGAGGTAAATGTTCATGTTGGCTGAGAAAAACAGGGGCTGGGTAACTGCTAGAAAGGTCAGAAAAGTAAAGAGACTCAAACAGTTACTAGAAAACAGTTTAGCAGTTGTCAACAATCAGTGGAAATCACTTTCCAGCATGAATCCACTCGCAGCACTGTGGGACTGAAGGCAGATCTGACCCTCTTAGAGATGCTGCAAACAGAAACCCTACAGATCCCGCTGTTGATATCATTATTTTAGCCTAATGACATAATATTGGAGCATTTCAGTAATCTCATGAGGGAAGGAAAGACAGTACCCTGGTGTTTTTGCTTTTAAACCATTGTTCAGTATGCCTGCACATTATCAGATACTCAGTTCAAAGCATGTATTTTATGTAAAATACCATCAAAAAGTCTTGTCAGTCTCAAGCTGTATAATTAACTTAATAGCATCAATTTTCTCTGAGAGCCTTGCTTCCTTGTTCTGTTCAGGCATCTACTATAGTGACTTACAAAAATTTCTCATAAAGGCAGGCTTTGAAATAAAGAGGGTAAGAGGAACAAGGTAGTCTGGTTTCAGTCTGTCTTGTCTGAAACCATAGGCCGTATAATAAAGATGGACGACATGACAGCTTCACAAAAGTGAAGCCAAAACATCTCAATCACCCCCTGGTGGCTGGCTGCAGTATAGATCATAAACCCTGCGCCTTCCATGTTTTCTGACGTTTTAGGATGTTCTTGTAACGCTAATGTATGGTTAAGTGATCATTTTTCTGATAAATTTGGCTATAAGTAGCTATTCGATGCTATAAAAAGAGGGTTTAACATCATGACTGACAGCTGTGTGCGCACTGAATCAATGGTACTGCTCACAATTGGCTCAGACGATGGGAAAACCATTGTGTGGAGACTTCTACCACACAGACTCCAGCTCCAAAATACATCACCAGCACATAATGGCAACGACCATATCCTGGATAATTTGGCTTCACTTTTGTACAGTTGAGGAAGTGGAGATGTGTCGTCCATCTTTACAGTCATGGTCTGACACCTATACCTGTTGTTTCAAAGTGGGTATTTTGAAATGTCCACTAAGTATTTTCTCTCCCATACTAAGTTTAACATGAAGTTTAAGTTTGGTTTTTAATTGTTTGTTGAGTTTGAGTCAAAATACTTTTATCCATAATTGCCATTTTAAGAAGATCCTTCAAAAATATAAGGAATTCTGACATTAATACAGCATCCAAATAAATCTTATATGATCTATAGAATGTTGAGCACAGTGTGAGAGCTTGTGTCGTTGGAGCCTGTGTATTAATAGACAGTTATGACAAGGCTGTAAATGTGAGCTCACGGCAGAACTACAGACACTTTGTGAAATGTGCAATCATCCCCCCATTCTCAAGACAGCAAGACTGCTTCAGACAGCTGTGAACATTTAGTCAAAGAGCAGTGGTTCTAGTACACACTAGGCAGCCAGGGTTATGCTTATATTTTTACGTGTGTCTTTATTTTCATATCTTCTCCATGGCTCATCAGCTGGCGGGGATGTTGATTGTTTGCATGGAACGTGCAGTTATAAGCCTCGTTTCCACTTACGTATGTGTACGGAGACGAGGCAACTGGAAGTCCATTTATTGCTATGGGAATCTCTGTGATATGCCATGTGCCTACAAATCTCCCCTCCATAATATTACGGTCCAGGAATTTGCCTCAAGCAGGTTAAAAAAATGTAACTTTTGCGGTGGATTTCAAAGAGGCCGTATGACAGTGTGCTAGCTTAGCTAACAGGCTGCAAACTGGCTAACAGACTATCTTCTTCAATTCAGTTGCATGTGTTGATCGTCAAGTGAGTTTGTATGATTAAAAAGAAATTTTTTTTTTTTTTTTTTAAAGATATTTTTGGGGGCATTTTTTGCCTTTAATGGACAGGACAGTTAAGTGTGAAAGGGGGAGAGAGAGAGGGAGTGACATGCAGCAAAGGGCCACAGGCTGGAGTCAAACCCGGGCCGCTGCGGCAACAGCCTTGTACATGGGGCGCCTGCTCTACCACTAAGCCACCGACGCCCCAAAAAGAAAATGTTTATCTGGTTTTAACACATTTTGCTAAAATATGGTTATACATTATGTACAGTGAGACTGTCATTATGACTCATTCAGCTGTATATATGTCTTTTTAATTAGATATATCACAAAACATGCCACGTACCTGGCACGTCCTGTTTCTGTCCCGCTTATGTTTCAACCGCATATTCAAAACTACTGTATGGCGAAAAAAGACAGAATTAGCCTCTCCCTCATGGCTACAGGTAGTTTCTTTCAGGTTCTATGCATCGGTAAAGAACTGCACTTCCTTGCGTTGGACACCAGAGACATCATCTGTATATATATGGATCTACGGACACCAGCCATATACGTAAGTGGAAACAGGGCGTTAGCCTCAGTCTTTTAGTATGATATCATGTTAGCAGCCATCAAGTGCATATATAAGACCCCCTTTGATGGTTTTGGTCTTTATAATAAGTAGGCTAAGAACATTAAACAGTGAACTGGAGACACTGTTTTTAACCAACCCCTGAAGCTAAAAGTAGCTTAATTAGCTAATGGCCATTGATGAGCTCTGCTAGCGACAGTCAACTCAATCCCCGGAAAAATGTTGGAATTGTATGTTTCCACGAACTATGGATATGTTACATTTGCATGTTAGCAATGTGTCAGTAAAAAGCAAATGCTTTTCGTGGGACCAACCCCACCAACAGGTCGCTACAGAACATGTCTGGTGCCTGAAAAGCTACTCGTTACACAGCAATGACTCGCTAAGACACAACTGGTTTCGTTGATTGTCGGCCTCCGACAGTGATCTGCAGCTCAGCAGGCATCTCAACATCCACCATCCCCTTCAACTCCTGATGACAAACTCGGCTTACATATTATGTCACTTAAAAAACATTGATATGATGGGTATGAAAAGTACAAATATAAAGTATTAGTGGTTTACAGCATTTTCTTTTGGCAACCAGGCAGCAAGGGCTGTCTTTTGAAACAGTCAAAAGGATGGTTGCCAGGTTAAAATGATTAGCTGTTTTTGTCCACGTGTGTCTGACCCATTGTTTCAAAACATACAAATTACAAAGAATTTTAACAATAAATTTGCCCGTCTTACCAAACAGTCAATTCCCTTTTGTTGTGGCCCTTGTCACTGCTAACTTAACTGATGCACACAGTGTCCCAGCCATCTCTGACAGGGCTCAGCCAGTGGGGCGCACTACACCTCATGCCATCCCCCAAAGACTCCACCTCCCCAGTGCAGTCAACCTGACCACCCAGCAGGTGTCACTCCAGCAAAAGGTGCGTGATCCCTCACTGGCTTCCCATCATCACCAAACATTTCTAATCGAGTTTGGTGGAACCAACACATTCTCACTCTTACCTCGTCACATATCAACATTTGGCCATGGACCTTACATTTTGTCAACACGCACATGTTTGGGTTTAGGCAATAAAAGCACGTGGTTGGCTTTAGGAAAAAAAGATCAGGGTTTGGCTTTAGAACCTTATGGGAAACAAACACCGGCCTTCCGGGTGCAAGTTGGGGGTTGTTAGATCCATCCACCAACACTCCTGCCTACCCTACTCTGACTTCCGCCGCCTCAACTTTTGTTGCTGTCCTCCTGACGCTGCCGGCGACCGGCTGCGTATCATACCTATGTGAGAGGACGACTTTTTTTATTGATGTCATACACCAGAAGTCACTGATCAAGCACCAGATTTCACTTCAGAGTCCGGGTTATTGGAACTTAAGATCTGCAGTAGTTGGCACATATTTCTATTAACTGGAGTATTCCCAAAGTCATTTTCATTAACCAGTTCCTACATATCTCTTTACTATTGAGAATTTAGCAGCTGTTCATATGTAAATGATAGCTGCGGCATTGAATCATTTCACTTAAAAAGTTTATACAACCTCTGTATGTTATACTGTACTCAGATTGGATACACTGATGTCAACTAAAACTGTCTGAAGTTTAAAGCTTTCTACATAATTGTTGCTGTGATTTAAACACATGACCTGAGCAATACATGATAATGTCACACTGGATTATGTATAACTGTTTTCAAAAGTGCAATACAGTGGAAGAACAGGGATTCAGCATTTTGGATAACTCAAATGGGACTTTTCTCTTGTAGGATGTCCACTTAATCCACTTATCCTTTCTGAACCTCTGAGGTTTAACCCATAAGTCTAAAAGTACCTCATACAAACTTCAAAAAAGCAATTTTTCGCCGAACACATGGACCTGATGGAACTAGTCTTTGGCAATCAAAACTCCAGACATGTGATTTCTCTCAAAATTGAATTTGAGTGTTGGAATCTATACAGAGAAGTTTCTAC